CACATTCTTTAGAGACTGGCTAAGTAAGAAGCAGACCCCAGTCCTCTGGCAGGCATAACTCAGGGATGTGAGCAGGTTTCATTGTGAGCAAGATTCAAAGGACACGAGCAGGCTCAGAGTGTCCAGGTTTCCATATACAGATAAGAACTTGGATGACTCTGGAGCATTTAGATTGTTTCTTAGGAAAAATCATAGCCAAAGTGAATCAGTTTTAAAGAGTTTGCATTATATGTGGGCAACAAAAGGTCTTCAGGTTAATACCCTTAATTCCCTTATTGAGCTCCTGAGTTACTGCTTTTTTGTTCTAGCAGCTTACACTGAAACTGGACTTAGGAGTTAGTTATTTAATGGGAGAAAGACATGTCACAACCATAGAGAAATGAGCACAAAAATATCAAATGATAGGAAAACTTTAAGAGATAGAAGTATAGATGTGCTCTCTGGAGAAGGAATGACATTCCCAGCTTTAAAGCTATAGCAGAAATCATAAAGATAAACAAGGACAGATTTGACTACATAATGATAAATGATCCTCTTTAACAGGAAAAAATGACAGAAAATCAGAAAGCAGGTTTAGAAAAACCTTTGCAGAAAGTAGACAGTATCTTTATATACCAAGCTCATACAAATATGTAAGAAAATAATATTATAAAACTGTAGATGACTAGACAGAGGAAACTGACAAATAGTTCACACAAAAAGAAATGTAATTTGAAAACAAATATTTAAAAAGTTTCCGTGCAAGTTAAAACAGCATTGAGGTAACAGTTCACACCCATTACATGGGCAAAACAACTTTTTGAAGTGAAAGCACCCAACGTTGGTAAATTGCCATGAAAATAAAACACTTCTCCATTGCTAGTGGCAGATATAGTGTACATCTTTTTTGAAAATCAGGAATGTGCCAAATATTTAACCGATAATTTACTTCTAACACTTTCTATCTTAAGGATATGACCTAAAAGACAGAAAAAAACTATATGTACAAAACTACTCAATGCAATTTATGTAATACTTAATTACATGCAACCCAAGTATCTAATAGGAGGTAAATGGTTAAATAAATTGTAATATATTTACTTGATCTGTGTAGAAAACCATGATAATGGTGGAGACTGTAGAAAAATGCTTATGAAATAATGTTCAGTTAAAAATTCTGTACTATATTTGCTATCCTATAATTGCAAGTATGACAGATATGTGTGAACATATGAATAATTACTTAACAGATGNATTCCTGGTCTGATCATTCCAGCATCCGTGCCATGTCAGGTTCTGGTTCTGATGCTTGCCCTATCTCTTCAAACTGTGGTTTTTGCCTTTTAGTATGCCTTGTCATTTTTTTCTTGGTAGCCAGACATCATGTACTATGTAAAAGGAACTGCAGTAAATAAGCCTTTTGCAATGTGGTGGTTAAGTGTGAGAGAGGGTAAGCGTTCTATCGTCTTATGTTTAGATCCATCTTGGCAGTGAGTCTGTGCCTCTGAACTATGAGCTTTGTAAATTCAGGTTTTCCTCCCCTCTTAGATGGGACAGGATGACTAGAGTGGGCTGAAGTTGGATATTTCCCTTCTGGAAGGCTAGAGCAGGCTGGCTTTGGGTAGTTTTCTTCCCCCAGGTTGGTTAATAGCTGCTAAAACTATGATAGTTTAGGTTCTGTAGAATAGGTTCTCCTGATGTCAGGCCTTGTTAAGAACAGAGTGGTCCGGTGTTTAAAAATAGTTCCTTTTTTCCTCCCTCTGCCAGAAGAATAAGGGAATTTTTCTCTAATATTCACTATGAGAACCTGGTCGAACTCCTGGAAGTAAAACTCACAAAAGTGTGGAGGCCCCTATGACTGGGTCTGCCTAGAATTTTTGACGTCAGACTTGTCCACTCTGAGACTCCAGCAATTTGCCAATTTCAGTTCAGATTTTCTGACTCCACAGTGGTTCCCACAGAGTTTTCTGCTGGGGAATTTCTGCTCCAATAAGTTGTGATTCACTGTGGTCACTTGTCTGTCTCTCCTAGTTTGGGGGCAGCAATTTGCCCTGGGGCCTTACTTCTCTGATAAACCCAAGAAGAGTTGTTGATTCTTCAGTTCAGCTTTTTACTTGTTAGAACAGAGCTACTTCTAAGCTCTTTACACGCTGGACTGGAAACCAGAATAGTTTGTTTTCTCCTTTGATGTCCTCCACCAAGGGCAATTAAGTGAGGTGGGCAAAACGAAGACATTCAAGCATCGCCTTTGTTTTTTTGAAATTGGATTTTAGATTTGAAAGGTGCCTTGGAGGTCGCCTCATTCAATCTCCTCAGTTACAGATGAGTATCCTGCCAGGCGCGCGTAGGGCATTCTTCTCTGGGTAATATTCCCGCATATTAGCAGAATGTGGACTGTATACATGTGACCCATTTGGGTTCACAATCCAAGTGAACTTTCTTCATATAAACCAATTAAGTTTTTCTATAGTCAATGTTCTGTTCCCTAAAAAGAAATCGAAGTATAACATTTAATCAATAAACAGTGGTTATCTGGGTATGGTGGTTTAATGGATGGTTTTAGTTCTGTGTAATGGGATGATGGATGATTTTTAGTTTGCTCTTTAGTTTTTCTGCGTTTTCCAAATTCTATCAAATGAACAAGTATTATGTTTACAATCAGAAAAAATAAGGTACTCTTTTTGGCCTTAAACATTGTGACGTTTCTTCTCTGTGTCTCTCAACAGTCTGCAAGATGAATGTACACCGACGCTGTGAGACCAACGTGGCTCCCAACTGTGGCGTGGACGCCAGAGGAATTGCCAAAGTGCTGGCTGACCTCGGTGTCACTCCAGACAAAATCACCAACAGTGGCCAGAGGAGGAAAAAGGTAACTGGCCATTTGGTGGTTTTCTGGAGTTTTTGTGGGCCAGCATCTCTGTGCTGGCTTCCAGAGAGTGCCCTGGAATGAGGTTATAAGATTGCCGAGCTTGAGACACTGCTCTCAAAACACCATGTGCGGAAAAAACAGGAGGCCAGGCTGGTAACATTAAAGCCTCCTTTAGTTCCAGAAGTGGGGGAAAAAACAAAGCAAGTCTCAAGTGTTATGTTTCTCAGGGGAACATCAACTTTGAGATGAAGGCTGTGGAATTCCCTCTAGAAGAAGCTGGGCAGCTCGAGACAAGGAAATAGACTTATCTCTTCCAGAACTGGCATGAAAACAATGTCAGTGTTTGAACTTTGCTCCTGGTATCACTGTAATGAGGATAAATGGACGAAGAGCTGGAACCACATTCTTTCCTAGGGAACAAGCCAAGAAGATTTGTGATAGTGCCGACATTCAGCTGCCCGAGGAATATTGTTAATGCCCCATGACATGAAACATCTGGGCCGGTTTTTTGTTTTGTTTTGTTTTTTGAGACCAAAGCCCTATCTCCGTCCATGTGACATTCTGAATGTCAGTAGGAAGAGATCCATTTGCTAAAATGTTGTTTTGGTACGTCAGGGCCCACAGATGTAAACAGAGCTAAAGGCATTTACAGCATTTTGTTTGAAGGCCCTTCTTATCCTTGGCTCCTAGCCTAGAAAATTGAAGAGGTCTTTGAAAAAGTAAGTTATGAGAAAAGTAGAACCAAGTTAGCTGGGCAAGAAACCCTGGCGGAGGTGGGGTGGGCAGCGGCCCTCACTGCCCAATATCAGGCATTCTCAACCTTTTACCAGAAAAGCAAATGTAACTCTGGGGTGCCTCTGCAATCTTGACTCCTAAATATTTTGCCTAAATTTTGCCCTAAAATGTCTTCTGAAGGGCTCTGTTTCCCTTCTCATTTTAGAAGCTGCACATGCCTCCTCACCCCTACTCAGAAAAAGGCTCAGAAGAACCTTTTCCCTTGAATGGGAAGGTGTGAATTATTTCCATCTTCTTAAATTGCTTCCTTTCTACCTTTCCAATAAACAAAGCTGTTTTGAAAGGGTTGCAGAAAAAAAACCGCTTTTCCTGGGTGACTGATATTCTGTGCTTCTGGTAGCTCTTCTTAACTCTATAAATCCAGTTGGCGGACACAGGACTTAAGTTATTGACCCAGAGCATTGAAACTGCAGGCAGAGTGACAGCACCCAAGAATTCTAGGGCCCCACTGAAGAGGTGGGTTATGCAAACACCTTGTGGTGACAATGTTGGAGACACACATTAATGAGCTCTANTTTACATTTATGTTCATAAGAGAAGCTGGCCGGTAGTTGTCTTTTCTTGTAATGTCTTTGTTGGTTTTGGTATTAGGGTAATACTGGCCATAAAAAGTTAGGAAATCCTCCCTCTGCTTCCATCTTCCAGAAGGTATTGTAGAGAATTAATATACTTCTTTAAATGTTCAGTAGAATTCACCAGTGAACCTATCTGGGCCTAGTGCTATGTACTTTGTAAGGTTATTAATTATCAATTCAGTTTTTTTAATAGATATAGGACTTTCACACTGTCTATTTCTTGTGTGAGTTTTTGCAGATGCTTTTGCTGTATCCTGCTAATTATAGTTGTATTTTTATTTTTAGTCAATTCAAAATATTTTTAAATGTCTATTGAGATTTCTTCTTTGACTCATGTTATTTAGCAGTGTGTAATTTAATTTACAAGCATTTCAGGACTTTCTACCTATCTTTCTGTTATTGATCTCTAATTCCCCTGTGATCTGAGAGCAGACCCTACGTGATTTCTTTTATATTTGTTAAGGTGTGTTTTATGGCTCATAATATGGTCTATCTTGGTAAATGTTCCATATGAGCTGGAGAAGAATGTGTTTTCTGCTGTTGTTGGATGAAGTAGTCAATAGATATAGTAATCAATTATATCCAGTTGATTGGTGGTGCTGTTTATTTTAATTATGTCTTTACTGATTTTTCTGCCTTCTGGATCTGTTCATTTCTGACAGAGGGATATTGAAGTCTCCAATCATAATAATAGATTCATCATTCTCCTTGCAGTTTTCTTTTTGTTTCACATATTTTGATGCTCCTTTGTTAGGTGCATACACATGAAGGATTTGAGAACTGGTCCCTTTATCCTTATGTAATGACCTTTGTTATCCCTGATAACTTTCCCTGCTCTGAAGTCTGCTCTGTCTGAAATTAATATAGCTACTCTTTTTTGTTGTTATTAGTGTTAGCATGGCATATCTTTCTCTATGTCTTTAATTTTAATCTATATGTGTCAAATATTACAAGTTCATTTCTTGTAGATGACATATAGTTGGGTTTTATTTTTTGATCCACTGTGAAAATCTCTTTTAATTGGTTGGTTTAGACCAATGATGCTTAAAGTGATGATTGATATAGTTAGATTCATAACTATCATTTTTGCCAGTGTTTTCAATTTGATGCCCTTGTTCATTATCCCTATTTTTGTCTTCCACTCTTTTTGCCTTTTGTGGTTTTAATTTAACATTTTATGTGATTCCATTTTCTCTTTTCTTAGCAATTATTATTATTACTTTTTTACTTATTTTAATGGTTATCCTAGAGTTTGCAATATACATTTATAACCAATCCAGTCCACTTTCAAATAATACTCTAATGCTTCATGGGTAGTATAACTACCTTATAATAACAAAATAATCCCAATTCCTTCCTCCCATTCCTTGTATCATTACTGTCATTCATTTCACTTATACATAAACATATATATTTATATATGTGATTCTATATATATAAGCATACATAATCAAATACATTGTTGCTATTATTTTGAGTAATTGTTATCTGTTAGATCAATTAAGAATAAGAATTTAAGAATAAGAAAAATAAAAGTTTTTATTCTAATGTCACATTCCTTCTTTGATACTCTTCCTTTATGTAGGTCTGTAGGTCTGAGTGTATGACCTACATAATTTTTCTTCTCTCTGAAGACCCTTTTTTTTTTTAAATATTTCTTGCAAGGCAGGTCTGTTGGCAACAAATTCCCTCAATTTTTGTCTGAGAAAGCCTTTATTTCTCCTTCACTTTTGAAAGATAATTATTAATGTATTCTGTGTTGGTGTTTTTGTCTCAACACTTTTAAATATTTTACTCCACTTTCTCCTTGTTTGCATGGTTTCTGAAGAGAAGGCAGATGTAATTTTTGTCTTTGCTCCTCTATAGGTATGATAGGTATGATGTTAATTCTCTCTGGCTCCTTTCAAGATTCTTTATCTTTTTTTTTTTTTTTTTTTTTTCAGGTGTACAAAACAATGTAATAGACATTTCACCCCCTTACAAAGTGATAACTCCCCTCCCCAATCTGTTACCCCTCTAACATCATATATATNAATATACCATAATAAAAGTTATGTGAGTGTGGGCTCTCCTCTCTCAAAATATCTTACTGTATTGTGTTCACTCTTCTTGTGATGATGTGAGATGATATAACACCAACATGATGAGATAAAGCGAGGTAAATGACGTAGGCATTGTGACATAACAGTAGGCCGCTGTGAGAGTTACTTGAACACAGCACTGGGGTTCTGTGACAGTCAAGCTGATTACCCAGGTGACCACTAAGTGAATAATGGGCAGGTAGCATCTACAGCATGGATACTCTGGACAAGGGATGATTCACATCCCGCCCAGGATGGAGGAGGAAGGCGTAAGATTGCATCATGCTGCTCAGAATAGTGCACAATTTAAAACTCATAAGTTGTTTATTTCTGGAATTTTTCATTTAATATTTTCAAGCCATGGTTGACCGTGGGTAGCTGAAATCACGGAAAGTGAAACCATGGATGAGGGGACTTCTGGAGGTGGCTTCTGGAGACTTCATTTTGTCTGAATTCCCAGGGAAGAGTCAGCTTCTGGGGATTGATGAACTCCCAACAGACCAAAGTGTAAATAAAATGGCATTTGGTTGATTTATAGTGGGGTCACCAGACTACTTATGTCTGTTACCCAAGGCACCCTGGAATAACTCTTTAGGGGTAGTATTTTAGGCAATCTGAATTGTATTGGGAAAGTAATAGAAGGAAAAACAGACCCTCTTCTTCGTGTTATGAGAACTTTTTTGCCAAGGCAATAGGACGTTGAAACAACCACTTTTGACCCCACCAGAGCATTTTATTTTGACCATGCCATTCCAGGGAGAATGCCAGGAGGCAAAAAGAATGTTCTTAGTCGACCCCTGTAGAAGGGCAGGAGGTACAAATTAACTTCTAAGTTGTGTCAATATGATCTTCAGTTGAGATTCCTCAGCGGTATGTAATCCATTTTATTGGGATCACTTGTGTGCAGGTTGCTAGGGAACTAAACTCATTATTTAGCCCTAGTTCTAAGACTCAATTTGGGCTTGACTGACTGATAGTTACATGGTGGCAATGGGGTTTGTGGCCTTCCTTCATCCTCTAAAAGGTCCATGGAAGATACAGTACAGTACAAGTTCAAGGATGGGAGTAGTGGAGAAAGTGATCTTTGTTCTCAGTGTTTCTTCCATCGTTTATCCAACCCATGCCCATTTTGTTGTTCAGATAATAGCTTAAATCAACCTTTATCAAGCCCTAATTTAAGAAGATTTTCCAGATTCACCGATGCTAACATTAAAAACACACAACCAAATGAAACATGTTGCCATTAAAGTTGAAATGCTTCTGTAGTCAAATACACTTTTGTTCCTTTGGGAGAGTTGATTAGAGATATGGGAAGTATTTCTTGATCCGGTAAATTGGAAATGAACTTAAATAAGAAGTATAAGTAGGTCCAGTAGAAGAAAACTTGAAAATAAAATCTGACCTTAAAAAAATAAATAAATTTAGATGTGATTGTTCACCTTATAGAAGCTAACTAACTCCTTTTACAAAATGTTTACAAAAGAATTCACTAGAAAGCACCACGGGTTTTGGCAAGATCCATTTGGATATTGCCAGACGGAGTGGCTGATGTGTANCCTTGCCTTTGGAACTCTGCAAGGTTCCAAAGAAGGCTGAGATTCTTGCTCTCACCAAGAATAATGGAAGAGACTACTAGCCAAAGAGGGCTTCCAGACAGGTGGCCAGGCCCCAGTGTAATAGGAAGGAGTTAGTTGATGGGGATTGGGTCGTCATCCTCTTTGCACACCTAGGTCCTCCTGTACGTTAGGTGCCAACGAACGCGTGTAGAGCAAATGAAGGTACATAAAGGGATGCAACACTGACTCTGTTGCTAGGAAGAACCAAAAAGAAGGTTATGAGCTTGGGGGCGGGGGGTGAGGGGGATTCTGAGCATTGCGTCCTCATGGGAAGGGCTTGGGAGGTGTGTACTTACTGCAATGTCTTGTCCCCCTTGGCCCTAGAATTAAAAGAACTTGAAAACAATATCCGGAAGGCCTTGTCATTTGACAACCGAGGGGAGGAACACAGGGCCACAGCATCCACAGATGGCCAGCTGGCGAGCCCCGGCGAGAACGGTGAAGTCCGGCAAGGCCAGGCCAAGCGCTTGGGCCTGGATGAGTTCAACTTCATCAAAGTGTTGGGCAAAGGCAGCTTTGGCAAGGTCTGTGGTCTGTGTGGGTAGAACTGCTGATCTTCTCCACCCTCTGGCATCTGCTGCCTCATCTCTTCAATCTAAGATTAAGAGATAAACCTTTCAGCCTGGTCTTGTTATGTTTTCTTGCCTTGTTGAGTAGAAATAGCCTGAGGCCAAGCAGATAGGAGCTGGGGTTCTGTTGCTAAACAAGCTCTGAGTCTTTAATGTAGTCATTTTACCTCTTTGGGATCCAGTTTTTCTCACTTGTCATATGGGGACAGGAATCAAGTGACATAGCAGGAGAGAAAGCGCTTTCAAAAGTTGAAATTGCTTTACATGTGCCTGGCATTCCATTATCAATAATACCAGCAATATAGTTCTTCCCTTCTTCAGAGATCTATCTGAAATTCTGGCTTTAATTCATTAGGAAGACTGAAAATGAACTCTAGAATCTCTAAACTCAGTGAACGTAGGGCTCAAAGCAAATCTTAGCATGTTATTCTGGACGTTAACTATTATGTAACTGACTTTTCTGGCGCTTACTAAATATTTTGTTTCTCTTCTACTTGTGGCAAGAGAATGGGAATAATCATCTCATTTCTCAGACCAGGGTCCTCTGCCCTTGGTGCCCCTCGCTCTCCCTGTCCTGCTCCCCACTGAGACAGGTGGTGGTGTGGGGTGTGGATGCAGAGGGTGCACAATAAAGCATTCATGGTGACCCATTCTGAAGGTGGGGGCTGGGGAATAATCCCTGTTCATTAGAAAAAAATTTGGAAGGGCAGAGAACCTATGAAACTGGTGAACATTTCAGCAAAGATCTCTGATTATTCCCTAGCTCTTCACAGAGCCATGCCTGCGAGC